ATAGAAGTGCAGGCTGCAGATTTCCGGCCCATGCAGAGTTTTCATTTCTTTGGCAATTCCTTAACTCCACTTGGAGCTCACAACCTTCTATTACCACACCATCACAAAATATAATGTGAAAGTCCTTATACACTTTGCTTACACTGCACAAGACACACATCCACAGCACAGTACAGCAACTGAAGCGAGCTGTTCACTGTTACAATTATCTTTCAAATTCAACTGACACCGATAGCTGGTTACCACGCAACGCGCTAGCAAATAGCTTCAGCTTGTCCCACGAATGACGGTTGCTATGGAAACCAGCTGACGAAACTTTACCAGAACCCATTTTCGAACAGGAGTTTTGTTTTAACTGATAGGCGCCCCAAGAATTTGTGCGCCGTTTTTCGAAACCTGCCCACCACTTTCGCAGTTTTTCTTCCTACATTTTACCTACACGGTGTCTCATGAGACACAATGTTAATCCAATGGGAACTGTCTCGTGGGTGTCTCATGGAGGAGATTTGTAGGAACTGTTTTTGAAGACACGTAAAGAAATGTAATGACCAAATGTCGTTGACAGCTGATTGTATCGACCAATTGCTACCAGTTAGCTGTTTTTATAGTCATTTTTGTACAGAAAACACAAACTGAAATCTGTCTCGCGGCTACCCTCGACGGCTCTTTCCTGTCTCCTACATTGTAGGCAAGTAGGAAGGTTTGTGCACCTCTGCGACTAGATACCGAAATCAGGGAATTATCAAACAAATGCTTCAAACTTTCTCAAGACATATGATAAGCCTTGAAAGGTACCTAATACTTTGAAATAAGGTAACAAAAACAAATCAGGCAATCTGTTAATTATTTGCATTGCAAAAAAAAACATTTATAACTTATTTTGTAACTATTAACAAATATTCAGGTCAGTTACTTTACTGGAATGTGGATTCAAGTCAACTGCATGAGGTGTTAGGAAAATAACTTGAATCCTGAATCTTGTCCATGCCTGAACCATCAAACCTTCTTTCAATTCAAGTCATTCATTTCGAGTCCGGTCAAGACAGGGTTAAGTGTGTTATCATGATCCAAAAGTGGTGACCCAATTGACAATGATGGGCTACACCTTGGGCTGGCTACACCATTAATGTAAATAAAGCCCATGATACCTAGTCCTACAGTTAAACCCAAGTAGCATGGTGATTGGTGACGATACTGACGCAACCAATTTTTCTTCATAAACAAATGTGTAACACAACAAAACTTGATCAATAATTACTTACGAGGCACACTGATAGATAGCAGACACCACTGTAATGATATCGCGATGAAATCTAATGCGTGGTTCACACCGGATCCGTAATGACGCTGTAACCGTTACGGCCGTAATGAGCTAGAGATTTCTCAAGATTCCCCAAGCATTGTGACTTTTCTAGACGAAGTTGAAATGTGGCAACCAGCCGCCGTAAACTGGCAGCGTCCACCGTACTCGTTACGGAACGTAACAGAAGTTGGGAAAATTGAACTTTTCGGCCCGACCGGCCGCCGTAATGACTTTTGTTTACATGTATCTCCAAAACGGTTTGACTGTTTTATGAGCGGTCTTCTTTGGGGAGGGGATGTATCCTTTCTTCATGGAACTGTGCTATCCATAAAACTCATGAGTGCCTGTTACAGCGCGTGCCACGTGCGACGTGAGAGGTTCTAGAAGAGCTCGTCATTTCATAACTCGGGAACGGCTGAAGCGATACAGTTCAAAATTTGTTTGTTGTTTTGGCTGGGTACACACTACACATTCGGTGACCTTTGAACGGTTTTGAATTCCGGCTTCAGCACGAGCGCACGTGCACACCCCTTTTTAATATCTCGGGATCTGCTGGGCCGATAGCGCTCATATTTTGTATGCTAGAGGACACCATGCAAACATGAATATTGCACAGGTTGGCAAAGACATTAGTATGCACGTGCGCACGTGCGGACCCCTTTTTAGTATGTGGGGATCGGCTGGTCCGATTGCGCTCATATTAAGTATGGTGAAAAGCACTATGTTTTTAAGCATATTGCACGGGCTGGCAAAGACATTGATTTGCACGTGCGCACGTGCGTACCCCTTTTTCATATCTGTGGATCGGCTGGGCCGATAGCGCTCATATTTTGTATGCTGAATAGCACCATGTTTATATGCAGATTGCACGAGTTGGCAAAGACATTGATTTGCACGTGCGCACGTGCGTGCCCCTTCTCCATATCTGGGGATCCGCTGGGCCGATAACGCCCATATTAAGTATGCCAAATGACACCATGCTGACTTGCAGATTGCACTGGTCAGCGAGGATATTAGGCTAGCACGTGCGCACGTGCGCACCCTTTTTCCATAACCGCAGATCGGCTGGGCCGATAGAGCTTATATTAAGTATGCTGAATAACACCATGCATATTAGTAGACTTCACAGGTCAGCGAGCGTATTGGCCTGCACACGTGCGCGTGCTTACCCCTTTTAATGACATGTTCTGATTGCTTGGGATTGCATCTTTGGTAGGTTAAGCCAAGGTATCGCCGAGCAGTTATGAAGCTTCCAAATGTTAACGAGGGCAGCGGTCTGCACTCGCGCACGTGCGGACCCTTTGGCCTTTTACCTTAGCTCGAATCAATCTGCCAATTATTATTATTTCTTGTGAGCATGCCCTCAGCTTGTAACGCTCACGGCTTACTTTGTATCTTGTGTGTGGAGCTCTGAGTTCTGAGTTTCACGGAGTTCTGAGTAAACTTCACCGGCCATATTGCTCAGGCTACCAACTGAGCCGGTCCCGTAGCTCAGTTGGTAGAGCGTTGGACTCCGCGTGGTGAGAGCACGCGTTCCCGGTTACAACAGTCCGGGTTCGAAGCGCGACGGGCGCTTGACCTTTATGGGCCTCCTGACAGGTATGGTTGTGGTTGGTGGCAGGCCGTAGCCAGGCGAAGTCAGTGAGGGGACCGGCCGTGCGCGGCTATGTGCGCACGTTAAACTTTGGACTCTAAATTCTGCCATAGAACTGGAATTGCGCGATCGGAGGGTGGAGGGCAGGGTCACCGCAACAAGCTTCGCTTAGCGGTGGTTCTGTCCTTGTGAATCCTTCCCATCAAAAGGTTCGGACTAAATTTGTAAGAAAAAAATATTGCCCCGCTACTTGCTAAATTTGATACTTGGACTTGTAGATATTTGCAGACGTTTGAATCCACATTGACTCTTGGCAAGCCAATCGAGCAAATGGTATACAATACAGATTCTGGCGTCCGTTGGTATTCCCATCACCCACGAATAGCAAAGAATGTAAGAAATAAGCTTCAGCGTTGACGGGCATAGACATGCCCTCTTGTAATGCTAGAAATAATGCAAGAATCTCCGTCCAGTGTTCTGCCCACAGGCGTTTAATTAACAATGATATAACTCGATACCATTGCAGACCGCTCTGTCAGAGTGAAATTAACAAATTAAAAGGAAGAGAGTAAAACAAGTCTACATTCTGGCGCTCTGTTATTAAAAACAGCTCTTCGCTCTAGTCCATTTTCCGCTTGCTATAAACAAAATAGAGTTTTGGCGCACTTGATTCGAACGGTGACGCTCAGCGATGGCAATTCCCGGTGCACACCGAATCCGTAACCATTACGGCGTTACGGCGTCAAAAAATCGAACTACGCATGCGCGTTGCATTGTGCCCTCCACTTTCGAGATATTTTTTAATCGCCACCGTATTCATTACGAAACGTAACGGTCATTACGGATCCGGTGTGAACCACGCATAAGTAAAATGTCCATAATTTTACGGAAGCATTGACACACGTCACGTGTCATCTCTTCCATAATGGCGGCCTTACAGGCGGCGGCCATTTGCATTAATGATTAAACTGTATAAAATAAAGTTTTCTTTTCTTTTTTGCTTAAGTCCACTTAAATCGAAATTCCTTGTATAAATTTTGACATCTTAAAATTAATTCAAGAAAGTTGTAGGCCACTTTTGCTGAAAAAATGAAGTACCAGAAAAGCATAGTTGTTCAATTATTTTCAATTAATTATTGAGCTATATCGGTTCCTCAACCTGGCGCAGCTGCGACATTAAAATGATGATGATGATGATGATATTTATTGAACAGAAAGTACTGGAACAAAAGAGTAAATCGGAGATTGGTGCAGAAGCTCAAGGCTTAATTCGGGGCACCTCTCTCCGTGCACACTCATTCACAAACATACAAGCTTACGTGCAGACTCGTACCTATGCTTTACACTATACACATACATACAAACACACACTCTTAATCACTTGTACTGGCACGCGCACACGTAACAATTCTTGGCGTATCAGGTAATTGTTGTGTACTATTATTAGCGTCACGTGCATACATGCACTCTAGACCTGTCCAAAAAAAAAACAACTTTTCGATGGACAAGCTCCCCTGGTGTTTTCCCATTGCTAGATGGCCCAATAGCTAGCACACCGAATTTCAGCCCTCTAGCTAAACCCTCGACCCTAGCGCAAGAGCGTCAAAATTTTCCGGTGCTAAGTACACAGAGAAGGCCATTCTCCGGTGCGAGTCCTGCAGTTGTGTCAGCAGCACTACGCATAAATGTAAAATAATGTGTGGTGAGATCCGTGTCATTGTCTGACACATCGACACATCTTCGCTCGTAAACTCGGCACAGGTGGTCTAACCCGTCTGATTTGTATTGAATAATACATTACCTAGGAATGGTAATGACACAAAACAAAACGACAAACACGAAACAAGTAACAACTGGCAAATCATTATGCCACTTTTCCGAGGTAGGCAGCTTTACCCTACTTTAGATATAAGGTAACCAAAACACAGCGTCTGGTTTCCACTGCTGCTCGTATTTGGTACGAAAGACATATGTTGATGAAACGATAAAACAAATGCATTTCTCAACAGACGATAAACAACCTAAATCACATCTTTTCTGTCACATCACAGCCAATGAAAGACGCACAGCACTGATCAGTCACAGAATCACAGTCTCATGGCCTCAGACGGCGGCTGACAAGGTGGCTTTGCTGTAGTCTGGGTACCGCTGACGGTGCGCCTCCACAGCCTGTAGCAGCTCCTGCAGCTCGAAGTCGGAGGTCGTGATGTGGCCGGTGAAGTCACTAATGAGCTTTACTCCGCGCTCCGCAGTGTCGTTTGTGACCCGCAGGTGCAGGACGAATGTCGCCAGGCGATCAAAGTCCGGATCACCGTCCCACGGCAGCGGCTTCCGCAGAAATCCCGCGCTGATGCCGAGGACTCCGAACACTGTGCGGGATTCTGGTCCGATGAAGTCATCCAGTTCCAGTGCCTTCACTTGGCCGGCCTCGGTGGGCAGAGTCGGGAGATCGGGCTTGCCCATTCTGGTTGCGGTTGCCTGCTCCGTCGCATACTCGTGTATGACGTCTGCCATCCGCCGTTTCGTTGGAGGATCCACCAGGGAGCTGACCAGCGCCAAGGTAACCAGCTCCTGCGTGAGGTACCAGGTGTGGCGACCGTACACCTCCATTGCCGCCTCCGCTACCTTAGGGTCCACCCTGCGGAGAACGTTGAGGTCCTGATACCTGCTGAGGTCGCTGACAGCGGCATCCGCAGCTGTTGTGCAGGTGAGCCACTCTTTGACGTAAAAGAGGCAGACAAACACAGCGAACCGCCGCAGCTTGTCGTGCATGTCCTTGGAGATGATGCCCAGCTCCAGTAGCTGATGTCGGAACAAGAACATCTTGATGCCGTAGCCCGTAGATGACGTGGGCCATCCAGCGCGCCTTGTGGCAGGCACCCGGTTTCTTGAAGCGCACAGATGCAGCGCCGTTTGCCTCTGTCGAGTCGCCGCCCAGAGCTATAACTGCAAGGGACGCAGACTCTTCGTAGTCCGCACGCAACTGCTTCTTCCCACGAATGCAGGCCAGCACTGTCAGCACCTTTGTCGCTTGTTGCTTCAAATCGTCTTCCTCTGCCGCCTCGAGTGGTCGGCATGGCACGAACGAGTGGCCAGGAACAGTCTGAAAGCGAGAGAAATAAGATGGGTCCATTTCTATTACCGGTATACAAATGAATCCGAAATGTATCTACCAAAAATGAGCACGATTTAATTTGAAAGCGACCATCAATTAAATTATCTATATTAGCTGCTGGGTTATTGCAGCTGTTTTGTGTGAATATTTTCATGGGAACCCAGCATAGCACAAAACAGAAAGCAGCCCATATTTAAAAGTGAGATGTGGAAATGAAACGACTGAAAATGTCCACTATTCATGCGACAAAACAAATTAGTGCTTTTATCGTTTTTGGTGCATATTTTATGCTGACGAGGCAACATTAAACAAACACACTAACCTCAGTTACGTAGCTGGTAGCGGTGCAGTAGAGTCGGTGGACGTGGCGCTGCGGTGCGGTCGGTGACCGGGGGACAAGTGACCGCGCCGACCGGTCGCGGCTCCCAGGTCAGCGTGGTCACGTGACCCAACCCCTCCGGTAATATGGCGAAGGCGGCACAGGGGCGGCGCGGGGATATAGGTGGGGGGAGGGGGGGGGCGCAGACCATGACACGGATCTCACCACACATTATTTTACATTTATGCGTAGTGCTGCTGACACGACAACTGCAGAACTCACACCGGAGAATGACCTTCTCTGTGTACTTCGCACCGGAAAACTTTGACGCTCTTGCGCTAGGGTCGAGGGTTTAGCTAGAGGGCTGAAATTCGGTGTGCTAGCTATTGGGCCATCTAGCAATGGGAAAACACCAGGGGAGCTTGTCCATCGAAAAGTTGGTTTTTTTTGGACAGGTCTAATGCACTCACACTCGCGCGCTCACACACACACACATCGCATTTTCAAACAGTTACACTATACTCCATCATACGCATCATACATTCACACACAATCAGTCATTAATGTCTCGCGTTCATTGCACATCAGCGACCGCCGCACGAGGAGGGACACCCGCCCACAGCGCCCCGGAACAGCCGCCGGGAGCCGCCGCCCCATGCGCCCGAGAGGAGTTTTGGTGATCAAAATCTGTGGGAATTAATTACGGAGCGAGCGAAGCGAGCGTAGTCTTTCCTTAGATTAACGGAAATTTCTGAGTATGAGCGGCCGGCCGGCCGGCCGGCCGGCCGTGGTCACGCTTTTGCGAGGCTTATATCTCAGCAACCACTTGACCGATTTACATGCGGTAAATTTTGTAGGGTAGCTTCATTCCTTTTACCAAGTATTGGACTATTCCCGATGCATGTGGGTGACCCCTTATGCACGTGCCACGTGCAAAACGAAAAGGTGTCAGTTTTGTAATTGTTGCAATATCTCGGTAACTACTTGGCCGATTGCGCTGAAAGTTGGCATGTAGGTAGGCACCCACTAGGCACTGCATATCCATGTGCCAGAGTTGGGGTGCTGCTGCACGTGCGCACGTGCAGGGGTCGTTAGTCTAGATCTCGAGAACGGCTCGACCGATTGCGCTCAAATTTGGTACACAGTTAGGGACCGGTTAGTAGGGTGCCGTGCACAAGTCAGTTGGGACCCATTTTGCACGTGCGCACGTGCAGGGTGCCGCTTCCAGATCTCGAGAATGGCTCAGCCGATTGTGCCCAAATTTGGCACATCGCTAGAGACCGGTTAGTAGGGTGCCGTGCACAAGTCAGTTGGAGGTACCCCCTCGCAAGTTCGCACGTGCAAGGCCCACCCTCTCGCTCGCTCCGTTAGTCGCCCCAAAAGGCGTTATACTGGTTATGTATTTCTGGAAACAGCTTGCCACCTCTCGTCCGCTGCCCGGGTTGAGTAACTCGCCATAAAGTAGCATCTTAAGTTGTTTGGATGTTGGCAAAGTTCGAAAGTCAAGATTGAGAATTGTGGATAGTTCCTCGAAAAGCGTTTGTCGAATATTATTGTATGTAGTGCAATGAAGGATGTAGTGTTCCGCAGTTTCAAGTGAATGGCCGTATGGACAAGAGGGTGAATCTGAAAGGAGTAAAATGTTTTTAGATGTGTTCAGTTTTGAAACTGCTGTGTGCGAGTCAAGCCAAAAGCCAATTATATTTTATAAGTGTTTATGATAAAATTTCTAGCGATCTGTATCTGTTGAGAGAGCAGGAAAGAGAACACTAATTGAAGAAAAAAAATTATCCACAGGATCATGACAGCATCGCTCACTACAAGGCTTTTTGAAGTTGAGCGAAGTTGAAGATTTGTGGGCTGATGGGGGTGATGATGAAGTGACAAATGCTGCCCTAAATATTAGATGATAATGTTGAAGCTAGTGCTGTATTAAACAGGGTTTTGGATAATGTAATTGCACTGCAGTAAAATGGAGAGGAAGACAAGGTCAAGATCAATCACAGACTCCTCAAAACAAAGTCAAATTTGTTGCTAATAAATGCTTTGGAAATTTTGAGAAAGGTAGTTTAAGTATGTTTTCCAGCATACAGTGAGTTAAACATTAATTCATGTTTATGTCTTGCACATTGGCTTTCTTTGTAGGATAATTATCCTCATGGTATTGGAATTTGCTAACACTGATAAGTTGCCATTTAACATTGGTAGACTTTTTACAGGCAAAGTGAAAACTCGGGCATTTTGCAAAATGCCTAGGCAATTTGCAAAATGCCTGACTGGCTAGGCATTTTGCAAAATGCCCAGGCAATTTGCAAAATGCCTGACCGCCAGGCATTTTGCAAAATGCCTGAGTTGTGATTGATTTATTTTACCGTTTTTGTTTACCACAGGCGTTGACCATGTCGCTCCCATGTGCCTGAGCCCCAAACACATTCAATATTTACGAATATACCCACGTCTTGCGCCATTTCCGTCGAGATGGAACCATTACTGAATGGTGTAGATTGAGCCAACGTCTCCCTATAATTTTCGTATACGGAGTTGTAGCCGTTCGTGTGTAGGAATGCTGCGATGGGGCGCGAAGCATGGCACATAGAAACATGGGCGCGGAAAAACGTGGCGACCGGCCGAATATTGACCCGACATTCTTCGCTTCCCGTGCTTATTTACATCACGGCAACAGAGGGCCGCAGCGACACGGGGTTGCCAGCGATCGATAGAACAGAGACAAGTGTATCCAATAAAATTTTTTGTTAATCACGTGTCACGTGGAAAGAAATAGTCTATATCTTGAGAAATCAGCAATTTTTGGTACATTTCAGGAAAAACAGCATTTAAAAAACAATGGCAATGCATTAGAATGAGATGAGATACATTCCATAGACAACAAGAACATGTGGCTTTTCCGCTTTTCCAGAAAAACAAGTTTTTGGTCATCCACGACCCACGTGCACACCTTTGTAATAAAAAGACGCTTAGAAATTACAAGTTTTACATGCAACGGGCATGTTCATCTTTACACAGTCACAATGCGTTGATAATGTAGACGTATGGCTAGCCAACCAAGCTACCATACATCGAAAGAACATTCTTTTCTGATCAATATCCACAGTCCACACAAAGTATTTCCAGAGTCATCAAGGCTCTTAGAAACATAACCGTGTTTAAGGCGTGTTGACCGATAAAGCCGCGCCGGGCGCCCGGTAGCCGGCGCGGCGGCCGGGCCGCTCGCGCTGCCTGGGGCTCAGTGACCTTGAACTCGGCAGCGCTACCCGGAGAATGTCTCACTGTGTGTCCTCCCACTTGGTGCGTATCGCTTGTGATTAACCCCTGTTGGCGGCACTTACAATGATGCTTACGCATCGTCGCTGGTGTGAGTTCGATGTCAGGCATTTTGCAAACTGCCTGAGAAAATAATTTCAGGCAGTTTGCAAAATGCCTGGTGGGCCAGGCAGTTTGCAAACTGCCTAGGCATTTTGCGAAATGCCTGGCCGGTCAGGCATTTTGCAAATTGCCTGGGCATTTTGCAAAATGCCTAGCCAGTCAGGCATTTTGCAAATTGCCTAGGCATTTTGCAAAATGCACGAGTTTTCACTTTGCCTGTAACAGACTGATGTATTTGATATTACAGTTGATGTGTTTGCCCATTTGTTAGGACATCATGCATTTGGGAGAAATGTGTCATGATTGCCATTTTTCTTCATCCAGTGTCATTTAGCAAAATCAAATTTGAGTTCAGAAGGTTTATCAAAAATGCTTTCAAATATTTTATGACAGTAGTTGGTTTTCATGATACCGACAAAATACCAAATGCTTTTGGTATATAATACCGAATACCGAATCGGTATTGGTTCGGTATCGGTATACCGAAATTTTGGTAACCGATTGACACCACTAGTCGACACCCCAGCGGCGGCGGCGGGCCGCCTCACAGGCCGGACAATCGGTCAGCAGGTGCGCCGCGCTGTCGGGCTCCCCGCACGCGGGGCATTCGTCGTTGGCTGCTAGGCCAATCTTGTAGAGCGTGTCGCGGGTCAGCGGTGATGTGCCGGTCCTCAGCTGGGACAGCGTCACCGACCCCCAGCGCGCCAGGGAGTCGTGGCCAGGCGTGGGGTCCGGGTGCGTGTGGGCAGCGGTTGCCCTCTGTCGCGACAGCTCCCGGACATGGCGCGCAGACCGCCCCTGCAGGAGCGCGCACGGTCTCTTCTCTGTTGAGGTGGAGTGGAACTGGAGAGTGCCGCACTGTGTCCTCCCCTCCCCTCACGGCCGGCATTGCCGCGCTGTGCCCCCCCCCCCCTCCCTCCGAGCGGGGGGGGGGGGGTGCCGTCTAGAGGTGGCAAAAGATGAAAATTTTGGGAACCAGACTCGAACCAGACCCGGTTGGACATTTCTGGAACCAGTCGGACCCGGTCTTAGTTGGAATCGGAACCAGTTGGACCCGTTCCCCAAAAGTCAATTAATACAAACTACTTGTAGGTATCATTAGTTGGCAGTTGCATCATGTAAAACAGCCTATTTCCAATTGGGAATACTCATGAGCTACTGTGTGCAAAGAAACATTCACTTAATTCACTTCATATTTTGCAATAATGTGTAGTGTGCAAGATGTATAGTTTATGGTAGGACCCGGTTGGACCCGTCAGAAAATTTCCAGGAACCGGTCTGGACCCATATGGGTCCAGACTGGTTCTTTGGACCGGGTCCTCGGGTCCACATCTTGCCACCTCTAGTGCCGTCCTCTCCGCCGCCGCGCCGCGGCCGTCCGTCCCGAGCGGCGCCCACCCCCCTCACCCCGCCCCCCGGCGCTGACCGGCCGCTCCCCCTCCCCTCCCTCCGCCGCCCCGCCGAGCCGGGTGGCCGCGCGGCTGGGCGTCGTCCCCGCAGGCCACCGGAGGACACCTTCAGACCCAGACGGCAGTGTCGAGTGATTCTGCGCCGCCGCCGCCGCCGCCGGGAGAGCCAGGGAGCTGAGAGACAGGATAAACTTCCTCCCGTGCTGGTTCGGTTTCTGAGCACTGGTGCATGAAAACCGTCTACATAAACTTGATATGAACTTGGATGAATTGTGGAATCTAACTTAGTTGCTGAAAGAGCGAGTACACAAAGTCATTGACATAAACGAAGTGCTGTAGTTCGTGCAGTAGTGCGACGACTGTGAGAGAATTGATA